GGTTCTGCAAAGGAAAGGATTATTATGGTCGAAAGATTTTTACAACCATCTGTCGCTTGCGTTTAGGTCGCTGTCGTTTTAAAGCTCATCTTCACAGGTTGAACTTAAAATCTCGTCTTCTGATTGTAAATTATTGTCGTCTACCAATTAGCCAAACTCTTCATCATCTGTTATTTGATTGTAGTGCCTTTTCGTTACAAAGAATGTTTTTTATAGATCAACTCTTAGATATTTATAAAATATCTGCAAATATCCCGCGCTCTCTACCTCAGCTCATAACAAACAAGAGTTGTTTTTAACCTATTTACCAGTTTATCAATACGACCGTTATTGATATTTAAATTTTGATTGTTTCATATTACAATCACATCTTCATACCTCTAACTTGACAAAAGACCTTGCTTTACGAACTCACAATTATGAGTTGAAAATAATCCACGAATTGGATATTATAAAATAGACTCTTGATATGACTAGAAAATATAACAACAAAATACTCTTGACATTTCTATAACAATGACAATGACTTATCTTGATATATACACAAACGACTTGGCTTCGGTCTTACTGAAAAAACACAAAAGAAGACAATATTAAAAAAAGAAAAACGCTAAGAAAGAAGTAGGGTGATTGATCCAATTATCAGCACTTTAAGAGTTAGTCCTAACTTAAACCCGTTTATCACAATGAAAAATGCTGTTTCACCCGTTATGACGAGTTTTCTAGTTTCAATATTCAATCAGTAAGATGATTATTTAAAAAAAAAAGTTTATCTTTATCCAATTTTTTTTTTAGATGGGCAAGAGTAAAAAATGACCATCTTACCATTTACTAGCACCATCACCACCAATTAATAGCATAGAGTGAGCCAATTAACAGCACTATGATAGTGGTATTGAAATTATATGAAATAAAAAATGGTTTTAGTACCTATAATCTCTTTTATTGACTTTTTTTTAATATTGGTGGGTAATATGTGACTAAGGATAAAAAAATATGTATTTGTATTTATAAACTTAACAAAGTTAAATATTATTATCATGTATCATAAATGTCTCTTGTGTTTTGTTAGCTTTTATCTCTTTTATTTTGTTTTCATTTGTCACTTGTAGCTTGTTTTCTATTGTCTCTTGTGTTTTATTTCTATTGTCCCTTGTATTATATTTTCGTTTTTCTCCTGTATTTTATTAGCTTTTTTCTCTTGTTTTTTAGTTGTCTCTTTCGCTTTTTGTTTATTTTATTTGTAGCGATTTCTACTTTCGCGTTATTTTTTCGTCTCGTTCAGTAATCTGTTCTTCTTACGAGTCGCCTGTTCTTCTTCTTTATGTTGTTTAGTTTTTAATTTGGTGTTCAGTCTTTTGCCATTCAGCTGAAGTAGGAACGAATGATGATCTCTCTACATTTTTAACACCTTTTCGTTCAGGCATTTTTTCTTTAACCAATACGTACTGTAATTTTACTGGAGTTAGTTAATATTGTTGACTATCAAGACATAAGAATTGCGCACTTCCAAGACAATCTTCAGTATTGTTAGCAGATGGTTCATTAGTGGATGCAGAGATCATAGCTTGCATTTCATCTACAAAATCTTATGCTATTATTACTGGAAATTGATCAATATCGAATAACTCGATAACAGCTTCTTGGGATGTGGACATTGTGGACGCATCAGTTTGAACATCGAAATAACATCAAATCTTCTTTAAAATCCTTTCCGTTTCTATTAGACTCTCAAGCGGCGGTCTTTGCAGAAATGTAAATTTTTCTTGCCCTATAATCCTTTCCTTAAGTTTCACGTGTCATAACTCTATCTTTACTAGAATCTTCTTGTAATTTTTATTTGTCTTGTTTTGGTTCTTTATTATGCTTACTTCCTTTACCCAGACATTTTTTGTAGTTGATGGCTTCAGAGTTCCAGGGACATAAGCCAATAGTTCTGAATGCATTTATCACTGTTGTATCTTTGACGCCAACCTCTAACTAAAAAAAAATCTTTGTGAGAGTCTCCAAAGGGCGATCTCTCCTCCATTTTACTTTCCTTCCATGCATTTTTGAGAGGTCTTAAGGCTGACATGTGTCGGCTGGCTTTAGAGCAATCAAAATAATGTCCCATCTTGCTGCACTATTCACTCACTTCAAGACTAAGATGTGTTTTGTGCCCATCTACGAATAGTATGGTGTGAAATGGATGAAATACGTTCTTGATATAATCATAGAAAAAATCACATTTCATCTAGCCAGTACAGCTTAAACCAACGCCCCATTCATTTGGGGCTGATGATTTTATCTCTTGTTGGGAAACAGAACTAGTAGAGGTGTAATATCTATCTATAAGGCAGTTTTGGCTGCAGCGTGATCAACTTCATACACGTCTCTTTCTCCTCGTAATGAAATGAGTTTGCCACTCTTGGGATATTACTGAAAGTTAGATTCGTCCCCATTAAAAACACGAGACGGGTTCTGGTAGATGTTAAAGTAGTTGTTTTCCTTAGGATAAAACTCAATTTTGTGGAACCTCCTTTTGATGTCTTCTTCTGATACATTAGCACTGACTGATGTTACAGTTTCGGAAATGCGTTCGCTGAGTTCTGGATGACGGCACATAAAAAGGTCATACCATTTTCTACCAGATATGTCATCTTTACAGAGGTTATATCTTCCTGTCGTCTTTAAGAAACTTGTTACACTCAATTGTAAATCAGTCTTTTTTTTTGGGAATCCTTTCCAACAGCAATCTAAAACCCACTTTACTAAAACTTCCTCTTCATCGTTCGACAATATTGGATCAGGGTCTGGTAGCTTCTTGCATGGCTTTCTTAATCGCGACTGGATAGTTCGTCTAGGTACATTGAAGGTTTTCGAGGCCAGTTTTTTGGACATACCCTATTCTAATGCATCTAAGTCTTTTAATAGATTTTCGTAAGAGTATTTTTTCTTTTATTTGGCTTATTTACTTCCTTTGGTTTCATGGTAGGTGGGACTGAAAAAGGAAAAATGATGAAATTCTAGGAAAACCAAATTATCAGCATGCTTTTGATCCAATTATCAGCACTATGCTGACAAATAGCAAATGTTATTTCAGCACTATGCTAAGATTTGGATTCCGAAGACATAAACTACATATACGAAAAAAGTTGAATTTTATGCATCAAATAAACAGTTTACAATAATTACAATTAAAAATATGGAATAAGTATTTACGTACTATTTTCCATTTATATATTATTATTATTTATATTATTTATATTGGAATTCGCAAAATATTAGACCCATATATCAGCACCACATTTTTTAACAATATGTCACTATAACCTCAAATTTTTCTTTCCAAACTATCCTCATAAACTTTCTAAGAAATCAGATAAATCAAAAGTATTAATATAAAATATTTAAAAGATCTATTAAAGTATTAAATGTAAATACGTGAACTTACCTTCGATCTCTAAGAACAGGCAAAAATAAGACGAGCTGCAGGACACAAACGTATTTTTATAATTTTTTATTGCCATTTTGAAGTCGGAAAGTATGGTGTTGCCAGGGGTAGGATTCCAAAAACAACAATTTATTTATTTTTTAAAGTGGACACCCAAAGTAGTTAGTGAAAACTTTGGTTGCTTTCCAATTACAGCATTATAGCGCATTATGCGGCATAATGCTTAACGTTGAGTGTTCCAACTACAGCAACGCTTCGCACAATTGAGCACTCTCAAAAGTGATGCTTTCGTGTGATGCGTGCAGTCGTACCAACTTAGAGACAGAAAATTAACAAGTGTTTTTTCTTTACGTTGGTATTGATCGAAGTGTTTTATTTATATGTTATCGTTAGTAATATTATTTATTGTTGAAAAATTATTAAAGCTTTCGTTTCATTAAATAGTTTTTGAAGTTATACTTCTTTAGGCGCGTTATGAAAAAATGATGAGAGTGAAATTTTAAGATGCGCGCGCATCACTGTAACACAAAAATTAACAGCATGAAGTTGGTCGCTTTAGCGACTTATGTTACTTTTGTGTTTACCGCACATTAAGAAAATCTACCAACAAAATAGAAATAGAATCTCTATTTAGTGGGTGCTAACGACTGCATTGTGAACGCCTATCAAAAGTATTTATTAATCTTTAACAACGGAACCAAAGCGCGATTCAGGAGACTACAGCGCCATCTCTTGACCATTGGTGTAGTAGAACCAAAAACCACATCTTTATTTTTTGTAATAAAGTAACAGTTGTAGGTATTCATATTTATAATATCAAAAGTATTTATTAGTCTGGAACAACGGAACCAAAGCGCGATTCAGGAGACTACAGCGCCGTCTCTTGACCATTGGTGTAGTAGAACCAAAAACCACATCTTTATTTTTTGTAATAAAGTAACAGTTTTAGGTATTCATATTTATAATATTTATCCACATGTTTCTAGTTTGTATATTCGGAATACGAGTTTGAGTTTCATACAAGTGCAAATCACATATTATGTTCTAATAAATTATATTCAGTAGCGATTTTAATTGAATATTTTGATTATTTATTTATTTTTTCAAATTAAAACTGAACTTTATTGACTGTGTCCTTTTCCAGACTTTTTATTAATTTATTGTAATTAATTATTTGCATGCAATTAAAAACTAATTTTAAGCGATGCCAAAGAAGGATAACTTCTCACGCGCTTACATAAGTACACGCACCCATTTTTTTTTAAATAATCAGAGTTCATTCAAACTGTTAAACAATAAATATAAGTATGGATGAAGGTATAAACATTGACTTTTTTTTTCAACACTGAACTAAGCGCACTCTGCTGGTGCATTTGAAAACTAATTCACGTTCCAATTAAGCATCAGCATAATTCGGCATTGTGCGGCACTGAGTCGCATTATGCTCTGTAATTGGAAAGCAACCCTTATGATTTTACTATTTATTCAATTTATTATTTGGTGCAGTGCTAGCATTTGGATCAGACACCCTACTTACCCTTTATTTTCATGTAATGAGTTTATTTCACTCAACATGGCCTTCAGCCATTCGTCTTTGTAAGGAGATTCCATGGCTTGTTTATAAGTTTCTGGATCCTTCGGTAAGTATCATCATACCGTTGTGGTCGCGGAATTGCCGATCTGTCTCTTAAATTATGTCTCAGCGTCTCAGCTCAGGTTCAGGTGGAATTTCATCTTCGATAACATTTTCGTTTGATTCAGGTTCATTATCATGATCAGTGCGTTCTGGATCGCGATCAGAAGCTTCATGAAATTCTTGTTGGTCATCATCAGTGTCTTGATTAACGTCACCTATTTCTTGAGTGGTGGAATCTGGAGCAGCTTGTATTTCAATTGATGTTGGTTTATCAAGGATGTTTTCAACATTCAGTTCAATTTTTGGAGTAGTCAAAACCGAGTGAGTAAGATTGTCAGAATTTGAGTAGAAGTTAGACTGGACAATTCTTACATCTTTAGAAATCAAAATCTTGCGTTTGTTAGGCACATACACCCTGTAGGCTTTGCTGGTTTCTGAGTATCGCCGTATACGCCTGGAATTGCTCTAGGTGCAAATTTAGGACCTCTATGGGGGCCTTTTAGAAGTATAAATGCTTTGGTTCCGAAAATATGGAGATGGTTGGCGCATGGTTTCCTCAGGACCCATTTCTCAAATGGCGTTCTGTTTTCTATAGCACTGTTTATGCTTCTGTTGGATAGATAGTTTGCCGTATTGATGGCTTCTCCCCATAGAAACATAGGTGCATTGGCGCCAATCAGCATTGCTCTTGCCTTTTCTAGAAGTGTGCGATTTTTGCGTTCCGCGATTCCGTTTTGGTGTGGGGTGTACGGTGCAGATAGACGTTTTGCTATCCCATTCTTGTTTAGATAGGCTTGAAATGTGTTGTTAATGTATTCAGAGCCGTTATCCGTTTGTAGGTGCTTTCCAGTAAATGTTTCCATTTCGCGTTTGTAAGTTTTGAACTGTTCTAGGACTTTGGATTTGTTTTTCATGAAGTATACGCGCCTATATCGGCTGTAATCGTCTATAAAGGTGACGAAATAGCGATTCTTTCCGTTGGAAGGAGTAATAGGGCCGCAAACGTCGCTGTGAACAATCTCCAGACGTTCAGTTGTTCGTGGAGTTGTTCTTTGTGGAGGACTTGGTATGCGCGTCATTTTTGCTTGTATGCATGCTTCGCAGTCGGATATTGACTCTGTTTTGTCAAAGTTTAACCCGATCAAAGTCTCGTTATTAAGCGCTAGACGGAGGTCTTTCTCGTTCATATGTCCAAGCTTTTTGTGCCATTCCAGTACGAAGTTTTTTACCGCAATGCTTGAAGTTGTTTCAGACGTTGCTGCGTAATTTCGTTCGATGGTTTGCAACTTGATATAGTAAAGTCCGCTATTTTGACATTTGTCTGCAATCATAACAAGATCTCCTGTCTTATTGCGTACGAACGCTTTCTTCTTTTCAAAAGTTACAGAAGCTCCATGTTCTGTCATCTTTGGCACTGAGAGTAAATTTTTGCAAAGTGATGGTACATACAGAGTGCTTTCCAAATTGATCGTTCTATACTTGGTTTTCAGTGTTACTCTGCCTTGACCTTTAATTTCAGTAGAGTGCTGTTCTGAAGCAAAGTTCAGTTTTCTTGAAACTGTAGTTAAGTTTTTGAAGTACTCGTGTTGAAACGTCATGTGAGAAGTACAGCCGCTATCAAGTACCCAATCACTCTTGTCGTTTTCATTTGTAGTGAAGAAGCACTCTTCGGCGTAGGAAGAGTGAGAGTTTTTAGGTATGGGATCAGTGCGCTTATTTTTCTTCCAGCAGTTAGAACAAATCTTGTGCGTCTTCTTCTGAAAGATGTTGCGTCCCGATTTCTTACAGATTTTGCAAGATGCGTAGAGTGCGTTTTCTTCTTCGTGGGGTGGCGGGCTGATTTCGACGTCACGGTGTCGAGCGTCACTTTCTTCTATAATTTTTATTTTAAGTTCCTCAGGTTTCGGTAGAACGTCACGTGACTCCATGGCTACACGAAAGTTTTCATAATCAGAGGAAAGACTATACAGCATCAGGATAGTGAGTAGATCCTCGTTGATATTTACATCCATTTCTGCTAGTTTGTCTACTGTGTCCATAAACTTGTTCAAGTGCTCACGAACATTGCTGTCTTCAAGTTTAATAAGTATTAACCGTTTAAGAAGAGTAACTTTTCTCGCAGGGCCTTTACTTGCATGTATTTCTTTTAGTTTATCCCAAAGAGCTTTCGCCGACGTGCATTTCTTGATGCCCTTTAGCTGTGATAGTGCAATTAGTAGAATAAGTTCTGACTTAGCCTCCCTGTCGCCGTCAAGTTCATCGCTGCTTGCAGTTGGAGGTAGTGCGTTAGTTACATACTTCCAAAGTTTGTTTCTGACTAGCACAGCTTGAACTTGTATCGCCCAGGTATCATAGTTATCTTTATCCAAAGGTTCGATGTGATATGTCGTTTTCGGCATCGTCGTTGTTGCGCGAGTTTAACACTTCACCTCAAAAAATATTAGATCTTTTTCTTCTCTGCTACCATTTTAAGTTTTATAAATGTTGATTTAAAATAAAGATGTATGTAAAGTAAAGACGTATTTTTATTTAATATTAGTTAGCACAATAAGTTTATGTAAAAAGAATATTTTCATAAGATGACACAGAATGATAACAAGTCAGTAGCTATAGCAACAACGAAAAGGCATTAGACAATATTGTAGAGATGTGGTCTCTTCACAAAGACAAGATACCTAAAATAAGACTTAGCTCCGGATACAAGAAAGAAGAAATACAGCTTATTACTGCATATATATTATATACAGCATGTATTATTCTGAAATGTCAAACTTAAGAATTGGCTGTATGGGCACAGTACCCTTTGTCTTCCCAGAATGGGAAAAGGAAAAAAAATGCATAAAGCAAAACAGCTAAAAAGAAGAAGAAGAAAACGCGATTTGAAGAGTAGTTTTAACATTTTATGTCAAAATTGAAACTTCGGAGTAAATATTTGCACACTTATCGAAGGTGTATTGAATTCAGTATTCGTTCAATTCTACGCTTCAGGAAATCGAATGAGTTCATGTCAAAATTGTCATTTTTTGCACTTAAAGCGTAGGTTTTGAACGTAGCCATGTCAACATATGTCAATGTCATTGTGAAGTGTCATCGTGTCTGTTTTTTTTCGTAGGGTTTACATCCGAACCAGTGTTGTTGCAATAGCGATAGTTTCAATATCGATAGAGGACCTTGAAAAATGAATCTATAGAGCTAATAGTGCTATCTAAAATATTGAAATGCTGTAATACTATCGATATTTGATTGTATCGGTCCTTATAATGCTAATTCGTCCGCGTACTCAACAGTCCACTCCGCTGTTCATCTAATACTTTCTGATTGTTTTTTTTCTAACTAATGTTTTACTGCATCGAATCTATTGGTCTTTAGCAATAGTAGGTATTACTTATTTTTCTCAATCGATACTATCGATAGTATCATCAAGGCTCAATTCAATAGTTTCGACAATCCATAATATGACTGATTGTCAAGGTCGGTCCCTCTAGCATGATCACCACGATATGATATAAACTTGTTTTTATAACGCTCAATTAAATTACTCGAGTTTGACATTTATATGGGATAAAAACGTGACAACGTAAAAGGTATTCATGCTACGGTGCCGGTTGCAGGATAGTATCACGATACCATCGATAGACTATCGCTATTACAACAACACTAAACCAAACTTTCCAAAGAGATTCAGGGATTTTCCCTGTTACCAAATAATGGTAATAAATAAGATCTAACAGGTTTCTGTTTATATATTGGTGTGATTTAATCTTTTCCGTGTAACTTATAAACATTGGTTATAATTCCTAGCCAAGTAAAATGCCAGGATATTCCGTACTTATAGAACAAGTTATAAAAAGTTTTGGGGAATCTGAGAGACATAGTGAATCATTAAGTGTGTTAAAAGAATTATTCAGAAACGACATCAATTCACCTAGGAAATACGAGAAAATAACAAGTATTGGGCAGTTGCTTAGAATTTTAGAAGTAAGAGATGTATTATCAGAGAACAATATTCAACCATTGAAAGTGATTGCACTCGAATTATCAAATAACCGACTGTTAGGAAGAATCCAGGAGTATGAGCAGTCTCATGTTCCAGTACAATGTATGAACTATTATGGTAAGTGAAATAAGTCAGTAGTTTAACTTTATCACTTCTGTAACAACTTTTTTTTACATAATCATTTCAATATAAACCAATATAACAGTTATTAAAGTATTTAGTACCTACTATTTGATTTGGTCCAACAGGTCAATTGGCTGCAGCAGGTGAAAACAATCTTAATTCACCACAGAGACAACCACTTCAAAGTGTTAGCAGTAATTTGAACACAGCCATGAGTGAGCAAAAGATAAAAAGAATTAAGCAAGCACTTGTTGAAGATATTGGTACATTTTGGAAAGATTTAGCAAGAAGTTTAAATATTAAAGAAAGCAAAATTGAAGAAATCAATGATGATTACAATAAAGTAACAATGAAAGCAAAATGTGTATTGGAATTCTATTTGGAAAACAAAGCAGATCCACAAACTTGGTTTTATGATATATGTGAAGCTTTGGAATATTGTAAAAGAAAGGATCTCTCTAAAAAACTTAAAAGGATATCAGTTATGAACTTGTAATGTAAATATATAGTTGTAAAATTTATATAAATACTATACTTTGAACTAAGTAAATAAAACATCACTATATGGATGTTGTTGCGAAAACAATAAAATGACTGTCTATATAATCACATTACGTGAAATGACAGTAGATTTATTAACATCACTTTATTTTAAAGATTTGTTGCTGTACACACTAATAATTGATGACTAGTTAATAAAAGTTTGGGCCAGAAAACATCCCACCATCCTGAGAAACCATTTAGCCAGGCTTATAGTTCCCCATAAAATCGCAGCTTTACAAGCGTATGCGTCACATAATTTTCTGGATTTATGTTATTAAAACTGATTTGCGATGCAAAGTATTGTCAAATACACAGTCACTGCAGGGCTAGTGTACCCAAAGAGTTTGCAGAAGCAAATTATTTGAGACTTTGTTTATTTATTTCTAATGTAGCTTACTATGACTATAAACTGTGATTTATGTAAGGTGTTAGATGTGTTTTCACATTGTAAAAAAAAAGAAATGATGCTCATGTAGGAATGCCTCCCATAATAAAACAAAAACTAGTGAACAAAAGCAATTTTATTCTTATTGGAATTTTCTTTAGTCTTCAATAAAAATTAAATAACTATCAAATATTATTACTATGGATTTGAGATTATTCTATTACTAACAATTATATGATCTGGAAAAATTTAGGAATCATAATATTGTTGCACAGTGAAATCCCAGAAAATCAAATTTGGTTGTTAATACAAATTGACTCACTGTTATCAGAGTCATTTTGATTTGGTTTTTGCAGTACAATGGCACTATAGCTCCAGATAAATTATGATACATATTTATATTGAGCCCAAGCAAAAACAGATTGTGAACAAGCAAAACTACAAAAAAAAACAGTATTTTTGTAAATTGTGTAAAATTGCCACTTAGAAAATTAATACCTATGTAAATATTATTATATTTACATAGGTATTAATTTTCTAAGTGGCAATTAATAGTTATGTATAAAAATCAGATTTCATCCATCAATTCATTTGTTTAAAATTATTTCTTCACAATTTCTAAGAGATATTCAACAACCATGATTTAATGCATGATTCTTCAGTCTTATTTATTACAATAGCAATAAGGCACTGGAATATTTTATTTTTCCTAAAGGTCATATCATATAGATAATAACAACAGATACAATAACAAATTATTATAACTGCAAACAATAACTGCAAAAAATTGTACATCTGAGAAAAATATCTGCACTTAAAGCTCCATTACACTTGTTTGTCAGCGCGAATACGAGTGCCAATGGAATTCCGGCAATGGAATCAAGTACACCCGAATTCAGGTAGTTTTCGTTTTGGTTACCCAACACCGTATTCCAGTCTAAATATTGCTATATGAGCTAACAATCAAATGCAATTGAGCCATAACTATATAAGTACTTAGTATATTAAATTTAAAGTAACCTATTTTAATCTGTTTTTAAAAAGATTTTGATCTGTAGTATGTATCAACATGATATATAACTACAAATTTAAATCATGGATGTCAATACAATATCTGCAGACCATACTTATATTATATAATTTTTGTAAACTTTAGTAGCATAATTAAATAACATTTGTAAATAAATTCATTGCACTATACTATATTTATATGATTACGGAATATTGCTAATGAAAAGTAGCACATATATACATATATATTATTATATCGACCGCTTACAGTCGTAATCATAACTCATAATGTACGCGTTGATGCCAATGTACAGGGCTGTACGCATCCAAATAATCAAAATCAACACACAAATATTAATTTTTGTGGTTGCCTTTCGAGCTCGATGGAAGTTTCCAAAGCAGTAAATAGCTCTGTTGCAAGTAGTTTATTTTGTGTTGTTGTGATCTTGAAAAGTATTTGCTTCCAATGCATCGCACGCTCGATCAGTAACAAGAAAGAGAATTGACGCGAGCGTCATTCATAAAGTTGAAAAATTAATAGAAAAAGACAAAAAGCATCTCTCATACTTATCTGCTCAGTTTTACGACAGTTCGTTAGGAACAGAGCAGTCCATTCTCTATGTCAATGGTCTATGAGTTTGGTTATATTTATTGTTGGCAAGCCCAAGTGTAGGCGTTCTGGAAGAGCCGTAGCCATGGCGATATTTGACTGTCGGGGTCAGCTTGAGTCGGGAATAGCGGCGGTTGTACTGGACATTGCCAGCGAAGAACGCAACGTTCAGGATGAGGCATCATGGCAATGTGACGTCCGTCCACAGACCGTATGCCAGCGATACCAGCTGGAAATAAAACGAATCTCAGTTAGAAACAAACTCTATTGTTATGTGAAAGAGGTAACATACGAGTAGGTAAAAGTAATGAAAATTTTATTAGTTTAAAAATCAACAGTACGGTTATCAGGCTGGAGATGAACTAGGGCCGAGCTGATACATGTAGAGTTCATTTTTTTCTAGTAAAATTCCTTTACTCATATATATCTAGCAGTTTTATGCTTAAAATATCACAATAACAAAAAGATCACAATATGCCTGATAGTCAATGAGGGCTACCGTTTTCTGCCTCACCAGATGGCGCCACTGTTGAGTGAGGTCCTAAATTGTAACTTTTAAAGTTTATTAATACGCACATGAAATCAAAGGTTACATTTAGATCGAATTTTAACACAAAAGAACCATATCCTAAACATAAGGCCATGCCACAGTGACGCGCAGTTCCGTTTTATTCGGAAAAAATGGGAACATAATCATTTTTCTAAGCTCAAATTTTTAAGAACTGACATTCATTGCCACATAACTCATATTTGCCATAATTAAGCCGAATTGTTACCAATTATTCACAACATTATTTTAATTAGAAATAAACCCGCGTAGTCAACCAACTAGCAATAACATTTGACATTTCGGAGACCTCACGCTACACTAGCGCCTCTAGCGGCGGATCCATACGCGATAGCCCTCATCTATACTTATAATAAATCTGTAGAGAAGTCAATTCTGTACATTAAATATATTTAAAAAATTACTAGCAAAGGGTGATAAGGGATCGTTAGTGATCCCAAAAATGCAATCAGTAAAATTTTTGTCTGTCTGTCTGTCTGTCTGTATGTTCAGGCATCACGTAAAAACTAACGGTTCGATTTCGATGAAACTTGGTATAATTATACCTTATTATCCTGGGCATAAAATAGGATACTTTTTATCCTGGAAAAATACGTAGAAAAAAAAAATCTTAATTTTTCAGTTTTATTCATTGACGTTATTCTGTAGAACCGCGAACACACAGTGGATTCAGCGCCGTAGCCTGTAGCGCCGAAAGTCGGATTTGGCTTGAACCGTTTGCGACACAAGCGGGCTGCACGACGTCCCGCCTCCCCGACTCCTATATAAGGACGGCGTTCCGCGCCGCGCGATGCATATAAATTCTGAATTTTGATGCGTGCGGACGTGTTTAGTGTGGAATTAATATTGTACGCGTGTAATTTTAAACCGTGCTTTTTGATTACTGGATTTGATGTCACTAGTTGTTAATATATTGATAAAACCAGGGAATACCACCCGCATCCTACAGTTTGACGCGATGATGTTGACCTTACTACAGCACTCAGTTTTGCAGATGCCATCATAGTGTTTATGTTGTTCAATTCGAAACAATCATCAGGCCTAACACAAGCGCTCTGCTTTCAATATTATTCCTAAGAAGAAATGGTTCCTATAATTTTATTAAATCCCTAAAATTATAATGCCTTTTAAAATAGGCGAGTTGTCCAATTCGCGTCGTTATCGCAACGACAGTACATAAAAATAAGTTGACTTCTCTGAGTACAACGGTCAGGTATAAAGATATTTCTTACAACGGCACTACCGTTGGGGTTCATCGGATACTCTTCAATAGGGATGCTTTCATCGTTCACATACTGTATGTCTATCTGTCCGTTGTTCCAAACTAAGTCTAGAACATTCGACTCAGCCACGGAGAATCTCGCCGTGGGCTACCCACACTCCGATACCACGGAACCAAACGTCTTCCTTGTTCTTAGGTTCCGTTACCATTGTCAACTTACCGGGACTACCGTTGGTGTTTATGGGGTATTCTACAGTGGGGACGCCTTCATCGTCCACATACTGCATGGCTAATTGTCCATTGTTTCGTACCAGGTCTAGATCATTCGGCTCGGCCACGGAGAATCTACCCTCGCCGTGGGCCACCCACACTCTGATGCCACGGAATCAAACGTCTTCCTTGTTTTAAGGTTCTGTTATCAGTGTCAACTTACCGGGACTGCCGTTGGGGTTCATTGGGTACTCCTCAGTGGGAACGCCTTCATCGTCCACGTACTGCATGGCTATCTGGCCATTGTTCCGAACTAAGTCTAGAACATTCGACTCGGCCACGGTGAATCTGCCTTCGCCGTGGGCCACCCACACTCCGAGCATGCTGCCTCCCATGCCGCGAAACCAAACGTCTTCCTTGTCCCTAAATTCCGTTATCTTCACAGCACTCCAACGGCATTCGAATCTAAAGGAAAAACAAAACAATTTTATCACATCTGTTCGAAAAGAGCTAGTTTGGTCTCTGTTTACAGGGAACAAAATAGCGTTACAATCCCTAGGGACTAAAAGTGCATAAGATCTTGGTATATTGTTTTAAACTTTCATGGTCACTAACTGTTCGTTACTCTGTTATCATGGCACTTGCAACAGTGCCAAAATTTTGGAAACTCTGGCGTAGACAAAACCAACTCCACTATGGTGTAATATCCTTTACATAAACGGGTGAAAACATGCTAGTCCACGTCGATTTGCGGTGGGACGCTGAATAAGTTAGTACATTACCGTTCCGTAAAAAGCGCGTAACAACGGGGAGGCCGTTTAAAAATAACGAGCCAATGACCATAATAATGGATTGAGTACCCGCGCATTAAAATGTTCGCGATACCCATATATCTGCCATCTGGACAAGTTCACATATCGAACACCAGGTGGCGCTAGAGAACATATTACATTATTGGTGTAAAAAAAACCATTGTATATAACAAAACGCAGAACTATAGCTTGACCGCCGTAAACTCGACCTTCCCGATGGTCCGCGGGACGCGGGTGCGCACGGGTACACACGGTATTGCCGACGCGACGAGATATCTCAAGATCAATATATATCTTCGTGTTGTTATATCAGATGATAGATAGATATTCAAGAATACATAATATTTTTCAATAATGGGTCCCGACTGTTAAAGTAGCTTTGTTCCTTATCAACAGAATTATAGACTACTGGACTTGTTTTTTTCTTTTCAGTTTTGATTTGAAGTATAGTTAAGCAGTCGGGTTTTTATCCGACGCGCAGACAGGGTATAGTGTTTAACAGTCTATATCTGTATGGTTATTCCTTTGTGGCACAATAGAGACCAAACGCCTGGACCGATTTTGATGATTCATACATCAATCGATTCGTCCCAATCATAGGAGTGCTACTAAAGATATGATAGTAATCAAAATTCAATATGGGCAAAATTAGGCGCCATATTGTGACGAAATAAAAAAAATAAGTTGACAAATATGTCGAGTGGGATATCACTGTCTAGATAATCAAAAATCATGTTTAGGTTCCTAACACCATTTTTCATTTTATATAATTGTTTAGGATCTACAACGCTTTAAAGTTGTATATTAACCACTTGCGCTTTTAATTTCAATCTTACGTTTGTATGGATCTTGTTACTCTTTCACCTAAAAATACTGAATGGATTTTAATGAAACTTAACAGTAATATAGCTCATATATGATGATAACATATATATAATAATTTATGTAGTTATTGAGTGAATTGGCCAAATTATAACAATAAGTGTCACATAAGACGGAAAAAAATCTCCCATCTGCAAAGCCATTTTGGTCTGCACTGCAAAAACAATAAAAGTTACATGAAGGTAATGTAGAGTGAAAATGTATCTCTTAAATAGTTCTAATAAAAAGTCCGTGACACCATATATCTATTTTTAATGTGTAAGTCATTATCGCTAAAATAGTGAATCAAAACTAAAATATTATTTGATATCTATTTCCAAAATACACATTTTGTATAATATTATATTATACTTACTAGTGATTCACCCGGGCATTGTACGGGCGGAATTTATTTTATCGGGATAAAATATAGCCTATGTCACTCGGACAAAATGTATTTAAATAAAGAAAAATGTAATAATAAATAATATAGCTACCTTATGATGAATTAATATTTGAAACCGTTTCAGTAGTTTGATAGATTATTTATTACAAATATACAAATAATATAAAATATTGCCTCTTTATACTATTAGTATAGAGAGTTAGGATATTAGTATTTAATTGATGAAAAAGATTTAAAAATAAAGTAAGTAATAGGTTTATTTGATAATATTTGTAAAAGTTACTTAGCATCTGTGCTTAACAGTGATACGCTATTCGGTATTTTTTTTAAACTCTAAAAATATTTGGAAAATAATTACCATGATTGCACTATGTGCAATACCTGGTATAAAGGCTGGTAGCAGCACGCTTGATAGGTGGAAGTACTCTTGATTCGAGCTTTACCAATAAAAAAGGGTCGATCACAAAGTCTTTCACCTGTTATATGTGAACGCTTTAAAAGAAAACTACAAAGAAATCTATAAATTGATAATAAATGAGATTGCTATGAATTTTATTATGCGCCTTTAGTTTAATCAATTATTATAATCTTTACTTTGGTGATTACAAAATTATTTAATTTATCGATCTAAGGCAGTTGCCACCATTGTCCAAAACAACAGACGGGAATTACTGCTTTCTTCAACCTGCGACATAAACGTCATTGATTGGTATTGTATATAGGGTGATTAACAACGTTTGAAGTTAACTTCTGGCATCTACATATTGGGTTTCTGTGAATTATATAGGTATATCAAATTATGAGACTAGGATATGACACTGCATTTGTGTATATCTTAGAGCCGGATGTTGACTTGGACTTGTTCTTTTCTTTTCAGTTTTTAATTGAAGTATAATTAACCAGTTGGGTTTTTTGATTTTTTAAATTTACCTTTTTTATTTCACACTTTTTAGTTAGTATTTTAAGACAGTATATACCGTAGTCTTATTACTTCAGTAAGGGAATTAATATCGCGGGAATTATTAAGTACCTTGCGGTGGTCTAAAAGATTGATTTATTAAGACATAAAGAGACTTTACCAGCGGGGTCAAGGCTACAGATGGGCCTCAATTTTCGCAAAAATGTGTGAAGTTAAATTAAGTCGTTACATATATACAAATATCTAATGTATGTAAATTTTATAGTAAACTACCACTAATTCAATAATTTGTTAATACAAAATGTACATTTTGGAAATAGATACCAAATAATATTTTAGTTTTGATTCACTATTTTAGCGGTAATGGCTTACACATTAAAAATGGATATATGGTGTCACGGACTTTTTTTAGAACTACATATTTAAGAGATACATTTTCACTCTACATTACATTCATGTAGCTTTTATTGTTTTTGCAGTGCAGGCCAAAATGGCTTGCAAATGGGAGATTTTTTTCCGTCTTATGTGACACTTATTGTTATAATTTGGCCAATTCACTCAATAACTACATAAATTATTATATATATGTTATTATCATATATGAGCTATATTACTTGTAAGTTTCATTAAAATCTATTCAGTAATTTTTAGGTGAAAGAGTAACAAAGATCCATACAAATGTAAGATTGAAATTGCGCAATTGATTAATATACAACTTTAAAGCGTTGTAGATCCTAAACAATCATATAAAATGAAAAATGGTGTTAGGAACCTCAACATGATTTTCGATTATCTAGACAGTGATATCCCACTCGACATATTTGTCAACTTATTTTTTTTATTTCGTCACAATATGGCGCCTAATTTTGCCCATATTGAATTTTGATTACTATCATATCTTTAGTAGCACTCCCATGATTGAGACGAATCGATTGATATATGAATCATCAAAATCGGTCCAGGCGTTTGGTCTCTAGTGTACCACAAAGGAACAAACATACATATATAGACTGTTAAACACTATACCCTGTCTGCGCGTCGCGCTTCGCGCTCTTGCATTGCGCAGTCGGGTAACAACTAGGTATATCTTAATAGTTTTTTTACAATTTGAGGTTTAAATGTAAGAAACATTCACTTTTTCTTTTTTAAATATATCGAAGTAGTATTAGTAAAGGTAAAAAGGAGATTAAAATTTCAATCATATTTCTTCATCTGAATCCTGTTCTGATTCTGAGTCTGAGGAAGATTCGGATGACGTTTCTTCTGACAGTTGAATTATGAAAGGTCATCACATTTCATTGTAATTTTGATTGGCTATCCGGTCTTTTTCAAGGTACTGGTTTTCAATTTTTATTACGTGATCCACACATCCTTTCCATGGAGTCGTCGAATATTCAGCAAATATTTGTTGTAGTTTCTCTGTTTTTATATTCAAATTTGTATTTAAGTCTGATCTACCTAGTCTGTTCTTTAAATATCCATATTCCATGTTTGTTGCACGCAAAGACGTAAAATAATCTCATGTGTAGCGGGCACAAGGCTGCAACCGCGCGAGGTCTGACGGTGCACGTCTATCGCTGTCGGCATTCTACAGGACACTGATTGAATGGTCGAGCGCGTTCCCTTCCCGCGTCCCTCGGACCATCTGGAGGGTCGAGTTTACGGCGGTCAAGCTATAGTGAGAATAAAATATATAGATCACCTTTCCGAACTATTGTGGTCAAGGAACAACTGAGTTTTGTTGACAGTTTCCTTATTGGTCTCCGGATCGATCCAGCCAAGGAGGGCCATTAGTTGGCAACCGTTACACACTCCCAACGAAAAAGTATCCGTTCTGTTCTTGAAGTGTGAGAACTGCGCACTCAGCGAATCGGAGAACAATATTCCTGCTGCCCATCCTTTGGCGGAACCGAGCGTATCTGTTACAAAACAGCACAAAATCAAAATTACATTTTAGGTTTGCTTGCAGCAATTTTGCTCAATCTCAATTTAACTAACACTAGATATAGTCCATACAATAATTTAAATAAAAAAATTAAAATTTAGCAAAATTCCTGCAAGACCTTAGACATGCTTACATTATAATAACCAAAAATTAAGTTTTAACACTTCTGTGCGTTATGAAAATCAGAAAAAGTTACACAGCTACACTAGCAGCTGCAAGTGTATATGATTGACGAATTTAAGTATATCAATATTTTTGTAAATTTTCGGATAAAATGTACCTGTCAATTAAATAATTATACAATCGAAAAGAAATATAATCCGCAACATCAAAAATTTAAATGACAAATTAACACAACTCTTTATATTTACCATACAATACGATATCAGTCATGTGCATGGCGGCACTTTAAATGGCCATTCTTAATTGTTATTTGTAAACTTGACAATAGTCTTTCCTTTACACTCCCTATAGAGTATGTTAAGGACAACATATTGTCAAAATGACAAATAGCAAATACGAATAGCCAGCACCAGAAGAATAAGTTCATCTAATAATAAACTATAACTTTTAAATACAATACAATAGGTACTAAATAGCTTCTGCATTATAAGTTAAAATTACCTGCATAACTGAAACCGCCTGGGAAAACCAAACCCTGGAAAGCGTCCAATGTGATTTTCTTGGACTGCAAATCGCTCATTGTGACGTCATACACATCGAAATTGGCCATCATAAGGGTTGCGATCATTTCTCTGTCGCCGTTTGTACCTTAAAAATATAACCCAAAGCCATGTAAAGAAATGCATTTGTTACTGACTAAGTATATTTTTATTTCAATTACTAATTTTAGGGGAGGGGGTTCTTAGTAAGCACAGTAAGGCTTGTGTTATGGGATATTAGGGTAGCGGATAGAATACGATAGAGAATAAGTCTAATATTATCTCAATTTCCAACATAATTTCTCAACAAAACATTTTGATACAAAATGAAGCAATACCTTCCTCACGTAGAACTGCCACTCGTGTCGATTTGGTTTTCAACATCGCTGCAGAAGGATCAAAAGTCACCTTATACGTAGCTCCTTTGCGTTTCTCGAGGCCTGGGATAATTTTTTTTTGTATCATTATGAGACATTCACCAAATTGTATGAATGTTTGTAGAATCTTTTAGATAATGGGTAAAACTCGCGCGAATAAATAAACGCATGCTATTCTGTCCCTCTCGCACATCCTGTCAGGAATAAAGTGTGACTAGGACAAAATTCTTGGTTTTGCTTCGTCTTTTTCTATTGGAACAATAAAGAAAGGAAAACAAAGTAATTCACTTTCTTTATTATCGAATGGATAACTGTTTCAGACAACTCCATATCTCCGACCAAAGAGAAAAAGTCGGTAGAGTCTGTGCGGAAAGAGAATGGGATTTAGATTGGAGGGCGCTGTAGTGCTTTTCTACCGTATTTGTAAGGTTCTACCCCTTTTAGACAAGCTTAAATACAAAAAACCGCAAGAAATCACAACAACAAACAAATCCGTATCAATACAAAACTTTGACGTTTTACAGATTACTGGGTTTGATTGCCAAATAAAAATCTTAATGTTAGTTCCGTTTTTCGCCACGCCCATTCTCTTTCCGCACAGACTCTACCTACTCTTTTCCGTGAATAGACAATGAATAGAGTATTAATGCAAATTGTTTAAAAGCGAAGTCCTTACATGATTTTATTAATGACAACTTACCTTTCCATTCTTGTTGTATGCATGTAGAATTAGCTTGTAAACATTCAAGCTGATAGCTCGTTTCTTCCCACATTCTGAATACGTCTATCAATTGTGTGTTCAGAATTTCTTCGCCGTTCACTTTAATCGTAACCTATGAAAGAGAAGTCCTTCTTTTAATACATCGACGAAGGTACTATAGCATTTAAACTCAGTGCTTGATGATAGCGTTATACAGAGAATGGTGTCGATTCTGGCATAATTTCCTAAACCTACAATTAAATTTGACAACAGTGTATCTTTGTCATTCTCTATACAGAATGAAAACAAGAGATTGATGTTAAATTTAGCTTTAAGTTTCGAGAATCGTGCCAAAATCGACACCTATATTACGATGATTCTAAACTAAATAAGTTTATGCCCGCCGAATTTTGAAATCTTACCTTAGAATTTGATCCATATTTGCCGGTACGACCGATATGTTTAGCGTTGACACCATTCTTTTGATACTCATCCACCACGTATTTCAGATCCTTCTGAGCCACTTCGATAACTATACCCAGTTCTTCGTTAAACAATGCTTCTATGGCAGATATGTTCTTCTCAACTTTCATGTCCAAGTCCAAACCACGAAGACCTCCAATACCCATTTCCAAAACAGTTGTTATAAAACCTCCTTCACTGATGTCGTGACCAGACAACAGTTTCCTTTCTAAAATAAAGATTAACTTAGATAGATCTAAGAAAACATTGTGGATCGCAATATTGAGATTGTATAGCATACTAGGGGTATTTTAAAAGTCGATAGAACTATACCTTTTAACAACTTTTGTGTTGTTTTAAATAATGATTTTAGGACAGCAGGACTGTCTAAATCTGGTGTGACATCTCCCAATTGCTTATAGCATTGTGCGAGTGATGAGCCCCCAAGTCTAAAATAGAAAACGGTCAAAGTCTTAAGATGTAACTCAAACAAAGATGAACACAAACGTATGGCCTCGCTAAAATAAAAAATGGTTAGTGGTGCCGGAGAGTGGGCGGTAATCAGGCATTTCACAGTATGAAAAATAAAGTAATAATTGGTATCTGTATTTAACATTAATATTAGCAGCGGTTTTATAATACAATACCAAAACTCTTTATTGTACACCACAGAAAAAAAAATTAACATTAATTACAAAACCATTTAATATCAGTGATGCAATGGGCGGCCTTATCGCTAAAAGCGATCTCTTCCAGACAACCTTTGGATGGGGAGGATGAGTAGAAACTGGCGGAGAGGCGGCGGTGTAAATCGCTAGTATAACCTATTAGTAAATACATACATAAACCATACAGTTTATGTTTATTTTATTACTTTACTAAGGGAACAAATAATTAATAACTTTTCTAAAAAATCATTAAATAGAAATTATTTTTTTGTTCTATGGTCACGTGACCGAAAACGCGTGGTATTGGCGAAGACCAAAATAACGTCACACGCTAGTAAATTAAACATCCAGTCAAAGTGACATTACATTATAGTAGTATCATTTGACGTTCTAATGACAATCGTGTGACGTTACAGTGAGACGCCATAATGTCCAGAGAAACGTATTCGCGGAAACTTAAAAATTGAATTTTTTATTTAGTTTTTTTACTGAAAGACACAAAAGAATGATGAATATCCTTCGTAAACATTAGTAAATGATGGGAGACCATATTCTTCAACATGTCAAATACTCTTTTATAAATTCACAATTTATGTAGTAATGAATGATATATAAATAAATAGATGTTGCTTTTCACATACCTGTATTTTCCAGATGTTGCTGGTACGTATACGAGAGCCGAGTCTTCTTCCCGAAGAGCTGGTTCAATCTTGACCGTGATGTCGGGACAAGGTGCATAAGTAGACACCACTAAAGTACCGGGTGACTTCACTGAAATCAAAGTGTAATTTGTAAATTCAAATTATTTTACCATTTCACCCCTATTGCGGGCACTATGGTGTAAGCTGGGAGTTTTTTATTTACGATGCAATCGACAGAGTCGGCTAACATTAAACAGTATAAATTTAAACTTCGTCACCACACTTCCGCACTCATCACATTTATATTTATTGAATTACTGGAGCACTAGCCGTCCTGACTACAAGTCTGACGGCCCAAAGACGAATTTTGATAGATATGTAAAACTTTACGATGAATTACAGGGGTGGGAGGGGGTTTGATCAACGCGTTACGTAACATTGTTTTTTATTTAAAAAAAATAGAGTATTATAATCTCCAAAGTTGGCAAACCCTTTCGTTTATGGTTTGCCAAAGTTTAAAAATTTCATTGCCAAAGTTTAAAGTAAACATGTTATTTTATTGAAAGAGCTTATAAGTTTAAAAAAAAGCTCAAATAGGAAAATGCATGAGAAGTACAACGGTGGATGAAGCCAAAAAATGACTGATGATGAAATACGCATGTATTGCGAATTAGAAATCGATTGTTTTAATTATTAATTACCACCGCAAACGCGATTAAAACAATAACAAAAGTAATTTAGCGACTTTCCGGTAGTTTGCGCAATATAATTGTGACATTTGGGTAAAAAATGGTCAGTTGAGCGAAAAATTAGTTTGACCAGATGCATAATTATATCGTTATGTTCGGCAGATCCTCATATATTACCTTTCTCTCCAGCGACGTAAGCGCACATAGAGAGTGAATCCTTCCCCCCGTCCACGGCGACACCCAGTACCCTCATGGCGACACACAGAGCGTCGCAGGCCACCACCAAACTGCCACCCTCCACGCCGGTCTTGCCGCCCCACATCCAGTTGCCGGAGCATTTCACATCCTCCAGTTCCGTTATACCCGCGAATACCTATAATACAACCGTTACAGAAATTTCAATTTGCGTTGAATCTTTCAATCTGATCAGTTCGACTTTCCTATTATTATGTGCTTGTAACACTTAAAACTAAATTAACGATAATAATCAATATCAAAATACGAGGTAAACCTGCATTATTTTTTGGGAAAACTCACGGAGGTTAGATGTTTTATTTTGATAATTAATAAAATGAAAATGAAAATTCTAATACATTATGTTACATCAAAAACATATTTCTGATGTCGTAGTAATATATTTGATTATTAATGAGAGAATAAGGCATTTGAAGTTCTGCATATTATGGTTTTTTCCGTAAACTAGCTGCAGTAGAACGATCAGTACAAAAAAGGAAAATAGTATTTGCAAATATTCTACATTAACTTACAATAGGAAGAATAAATCTACTGTTTACTTCTATTGGAAATAGTCAAAATCTTTTCTAAGGGGGTAAACGAGGCGCTCAAAAATTACCATTTTTTGCAAAAAATGTGAAAGGGCTCTTAAGACTTACCAAATTAGTCAACGCCTCGCCCAATGAAAGCCTCGCTCCGGCCGCGGGGTCCAGCAGCCCCTTCACATTCTGCGTACCGATGGACGTGGCTGATCCGACCAGTCCATGGTAAGACAAGGCGATTATAGCGCAGTCAGCCAACGGCGTGTGCAATGGTCCGACGCACTGTTGTTGAGCTACCAAACCGGTGACGCAACGGTCCACCTGACGAGATTTGGTTTACAAAATAATCTTATATATCAATGATATTATATAAGAGCAGATATATCATAAGCGCGCACGCTGCGAAGACTCAAAAACAGGCCAATTGGAGGGTCTTGACGACTAATAAATGTTAGTCAATGCACAAGAAAACTATTGAAGTTGGAACCGATTTAAAACGCAATTACTATGCACGTAGCATATCTATAAAAACATTATATCATTCTCTTATATTTTTTAAAATTTTCAGAATCACTAACATTAGTTAATGAACCCTTACCTAATAAGGTGGTAAATCACATTAGCTAAATATAAAGTACGCCATCTAGCGTCGAGTAGAAACACTAGAATAAATTAGTTTTAAATTTATTCTAGTGTTTCTACTCGACGCTAGGTGGCGTATTTTTATATTATTTTTCGTTTTTGTGTTACATTGCTAAAGAAGTAAGGTTCAATTTAAATCGTCAAAAAATGTGATTGCGTTGTTGTATGGATTGTCTTTGTTTGAGCAATCAGGGTGTCTTAACTTTTGTGTGTGTTACGATGTGTTCAATGGAGAAGTATACGCAAAGCTTGACATAAATGGCGCTGCAAACGCTTGACCCCACGGAGGAAAAACAAAGAGGAGCTGGCCTAAGCAACTGTGCACTGTGATTTTCAACTAGGTCCTGACGTCATCATTGTGGGCGGGGCCTAAGTCAGTATGCTTTCAGCGTTCGTCAGGTGCACACTTAACGAGACTCGCATTATAAGTGTTTTTTTGCGTTTTTAACACGAAAAGGATGAAGTTTTGTGTTTTACTATGTCAAAGTTACTCAGACAGACGTTCTGATAATATCGATGGCATCACATTTCATTTGTAAGTAATTTTATACGTAATTAAATATATAAGTTCTAGAACATTCTCAGCCTCAGCTATCAGCGTTAAAATTCTACTACTTGACACCAGATGGCGACACTTTTAGGAAGAAAATACACAAGTTTACGTATAATTTTGCAGTAGTATATTGTAATAATCATACGTAAATACTGAAAACTGTTATACACTTATTCCTAAATAACTTTTAGTATCTAAAACAGTAATTTTATCAATATATTACTAACTGGCCGCCATCTGTCGTCATATAGAATAACTTTTTTAACGTTACAAATATCCAGGGCCGTAATACGTATTAAATTATTTTACCAAGTAAATAAATTTTAATTATTTTTATGTTCGTTTTAGATTTCCATCCAACGATAATTTAAAACAGCAATGGATTTCAAAACTTAATAGACCGGATTGGACACCATAGAAGAAGAAGATATTTCCATTTTAAATGAATCTTCTGTGCAAAAAATTTATATTACATCAGAACGTTATCGCATTTTAAATAAAATGAGTTTCGAGTCTTCGGATAGCACGGATGTCGAGCCTATGCCTGACGATATGTTATTGGAATTTGATAAACAATTAAATACAACTATAGGTGACTATTTGCGCCGTCAAATAGTAGCATATATTTCTGGGTATGTGGTCAAATATTTACATTCCAAGATCAAATGTGAGAGCTGTCTCAAAGAATTTATACTACGACGATAATGACCTTGATTTGATAAAAACTAAAAATAAGGGTGGTCTTACTTTCCCATCTAGAGATGTCATAAAAATATGTATACGGACCGAATAGTCCAAGAGCCCACTGCGAAATATCTACCCGAATCGGACTTACGGACAAATCGTGTACGATTCGATGGGCAATGTGGTCGTGATAGGGTTGCCGGACATGATAAACCCTGTATCTTGACCGAAGGGTCGAAAAAAGGGCCACTTCCGGTCAATTTTTCGGGAGCCTGCTACCCGGATAAAACTTACAATCAAAATTAGTGCCAATCGATAGGGGATGTTGAGCACTTTAAGGAAAAATCGGGTTGCCACCCCCCACCCTGTCAGGGGTTGCGGCAGCCACCCTTAAGTGTGACCCATTTTCCTATTGCTCTACCCGGATCGAACTTACGATTTTTTTTTTTCCAAATCGAAGCTTGAACTTTCCCCAACACAAAAAAATAGGGTCGCCACTTCTGACCTTGACCAGAACAGCCGTCAGCCAGCCCCGAGTTACCCAATTTCGAGGTTCCAATTTCGATCGCAATTTAACTACCCGCTACTTACGATTTCTTTTTTTTTTTAAATCGAAGCTTGAATTTCCCCGAACACAAAAAAACGAGGTTGCCAACTTTGGCCTTGACTGAAAATTTTTCTGCCAGTGAATTATGGCGTCAATATTAATTTATTTTATTTTGGAGCAGATCGAAACGAATCATGAAAAAACATTAGAAAATCAGATTTTTTTTTTTTATTTCATTAAGGAATGAACAATCTTTGGGCAGGTTGGTAGAGGCGTGGATTGAAAAACATGGGTTTGTATGACATGAACAAACAGTTTTATTCATTCATAATTTTACAATTCCAATTACGATAAATATAAAATCATTACAATTAAAACTTAACGGCAAACTCATTCGGAATCGGAGTCGGAACTATGAACCGCAAAATCCTCATTATCATTGCTTCGAGTCGGTTCTATGATTATAATGTCTTCTACTCTCAACGGGGTTGGATCTCCTTGATACCACAGAGGGACAAGTTTATCATGGAGAATCCATCCACATTCTTTAGGGTTGAATTTAATGCAAACTTCATTCGTCGCATTTAGCCACATTGCATTAATGAAGCTTGACCTGAGGATTTTTTGTTTCAAAGTTTTCCAACACGGAGGAATCAGATTTGACTCAAAACCTTTAACTCTTGTCAGAAAGTGGTCGCTATTCATATTTTTCATGTACAATTTTTGAAAAATTTGCAATCTCGCCGAGTCGACATATTGACTTTGCGTGGTGGTTGTAAAATAGATCGTTTTAAAATAGACGTTTTCGACAACGTTGTGAGAACGCCGGTAACGTTTCGTTGTGTTATTTAGAAAACGCGTAACGACACATATCTACTTCTATTTCAATAACCCGGCAATTTTTTTTTTGCTAGACCGAAAACAGATAGATCCCTTCTACCTGGGAATTTTGAAAAGACCCCATAATACATGAGGACGTAGCAGCTGCTGTCGTTACACTGTTGCCACGATCTCAACGCTTCGATCTGCTCCAAAATAAAATAAATTAATATTGACGCCATAATTCACTGGCAGAAAAAATTTCAGTCAAGGCCAAAGTTGGCAACCTCGTTTTTTTGTGTTCGGGGAAATTCAAGCTTCGATTTAAAAAAAAAAAAGAAATCGTAAGTTCGATGCGGGTAGTTAAATTGCGATCGAAATTGGAACCTCGAAATTGGGTAACTCGGGGCTGGCTGACGGCTGTTCTGGTCAAGGTCAGAAGTGGCAACCCTATTTTTTCGTGTTGGGGAAAGTTCAAGCTTCGATTTGGAAAAAAAAAATCGTAAGTTCGATCCGGGTAGTGCAATAGGAAAATGGGTCACACTTAAGGGTGGCTGCCGCAACCCCTGACAGGGTGGGGGGTGGCAACCCGATTTTTCCTTAAAGTGCTCAACATCCCCTATCGATTGGCACTAATTTTGATTGTAAGTTTTATCCGGGTAGCAGGCTCCCGAAAAATTGACCGGAAGTGGCCCTTTTTTCGACCCTTCGGTCAAGATACAGGGTTTATCATGTCCGGCAACCCTATCACGACCACATTCCCCATCGAATCGTACACGATTTGTCCGTAAGTCCGATTCGGGTAGATATTTCGCAGTGGGCTCTCCGACTAGAAGGCAGTATTCGTTGTGTTAAATCGCAATCTTTGAATACTCCTAACTTTCGTAAACATAAAATTGTATCGAATACATTAAAATCACTTATTGGACAAGATTGTTTCAAAAAATCGGCCAACCATATGTTTGACCAATCACCTACAGTTAATCATGTTGTATTTCTGATGAAATCGATTGCAGAAAAATATATTCATATTCGTTTTAAGCATTTTGCCACAATACAAAACGATAGGGCAACCAACCGACAACAACTAACCAAAACTATTATTTACAGGTAATTGATGTTTTTTAATAAAATTATGTTTGTAATAACATTTTGTCTATTATTTTTAAACTACCTTAAAATTTAAATCTAAAGAAAATACAACTAGAAAAATATCCACGCGGACCAGGCAGCAGACGCAGACGGGAGCGGGTGCGGGTTCGAGTCCCGTCTGCTGCCTGGTCTGCCTGGATTCTTTTTCATCAAGCAGTTACATGTTTTAAAATAATAAAAATTATACCTTAAAAATTTTAAAATCGGTCAAATTTGTTAACGTTTATTTTATTTATTTACCTACATATTTCATTTTTTTTGAAGCTTCAAGTTCTGAGTACGTCTCATTATATACAAAACTTTTGAACATCTAGTGTTAGATAGCTGAACTACTACGTAGTAACATAAATATCAACCTAAGCTAGTTTTGCTATTAGCCGATAGATGAAATATTGAGAAGTGGGCGGAGCTGAACACCCCGCATCCCGCAAATTATCACGCGTCGTTTCTTGAGGAAATTTAATCACCACACCTCCTCTTTGTTTTTCCTCCGTGCTTAACCCTAACCACAGCCGAATATTGCAGCTGTCATATTTTAAAAGTGTTTTTTTGTTGTGAAAAATATTAAATAAGTGGTGAAAATGTATTCAACATGGTCTGTAATACAGCTGAAAACAGAGTTGAAAAGAAGAAGCAAGGCAGAAAAGCTAATCTAGTAGAAAGGTACTCTTTCTATTATTATGCTAGAATGCTCATTATCGGTACATAGATGCATTTTCCATGATAATTTTAATAGTTCATGGATCTCAGTAACTTTAAGCAGGCTCATTAGTCAAATCTATCTCATTTTTGCATCAGTCAGACATCTCATAGAGTTAGGTTACCTCTGGCTAAAATGGGAAGTATAACATTGGGTTTTTTACAGACTTGAGGCATATGACCGCAATTTTAATTTTGGTGCAGTATTTTCTGATCAAAATGAAGACATCCAGATGCAATAACCAGCCCCAGATACATACCTTGATGTAAACAGAAGCTCAGTTTTACCCCCGCATTCAAAGCAACATATAAAATTATATTTTAGTCGGTAAGTATGCAGTATTCTCACAACAACCAGGAACTGCACAAACCGGCATTTGTAATTTATTTAATAAAAAGCTTAAAAATGAATATAAGCTAATAGTATGTATTTGATAGAAGTTTTGGGTGAAGCGATTACAGCGCCCAGCGGCTTACTTTGGTTTTTAATTTGTGAATTTTGGTTACACTGGTTCTGGTACTGAAATGGTATGATGCTCTACTCTTCTCTTTTTTTCTTGTGATATGGATCAAATATCTTGACATAAAGAAAAACTTTAATAAATAAAATACCTATTAATTTATTAAAGTTTAATTAAGGGCATAACTCCAAATAATATAATGTCAATAAAAAGTCGCAGGAGGCCGCCAAATCAGTCACATCAAATATGATTTAAATAACAAGTTTATTTCCATGTATACGCATATTTAAGGGAAAGAGTACCTTATTGTTTTGGAATGGTTGTAAGAAAATAAGCTTATTGTGGGCCAGGAATCCAATTGGCTGATAGTACCTATGAAGTAAACACCCTTACGCAGGGTGTTTGAAACCATAAAACTATAATAATAATAATCTTTATTGTTATACACCATAGAAAAACACACAAGTAAATTAAAACATGATAAATAAATATGAAGGAGATAAGGAGGGGTGTTATAGAAAAAAAAAACATAATGATATCAATGACAGGAAAAACAGATATATCTAAGGAAGGAAAGATAGGATGAAGTAAAAATTTAACATAATTGTTGGGATAGGAAATAACTCCGAACTTGATCCCTAAAAGAGTTCAGAGTGCGAGCCCTTCGAATGGTTTCTGGCAATGAGTTCCATAATCGTACTGAATGCACAGAGAAGGAATAGGAAAAGAAATCAGTAGAATGAATTGGAATTTCAAGAGATAGGTTAGAAGAAGATCGCAATGTGCGCTGTGAAGTAAAAGTGAGAAACGAGAAGCATTCTTTTAAGTAATGAGGAGAAGTAGGTAAGAAAAGTACGGAGTAAAGAAGTGTAAGAGTGTGTAAGTCCCTGCGCCGGCGAATAGGGAGCCAGTTAAGTTTAGAACGGAATTGTGAGACGTGGTCATATTTACGAAGGTTGAAAATAAATCGGATACATAAGTTCTGCAGACGCTCCAGCTTATTTAAGAGTTTTCAGAAAGATCTGTGTAACAGGCATCAGCGTAGTCAAGGATAGAAAGCAAAAGAGTCTGCGCCAGAGTAATTTTGGTGGTAGTTGGCAAAAAGTTACGTAATCGGTTGAGCGAGTAGTATGCAGCAAATATTTTCTTTCTGACCGCTTCCACCTGAGGTTTCCAAGAAAAATACTGATCAAAGACAATACCTAGGTCTTTGACAGTGCTTGACCAAGGTATAATAGTTCCATCAAAAGCAATAGGAGATAGATGTTCAAAATCAATCCTGGAAACGAAGTAAGAGCTGCCAATTATTATTGTTTGTGTTTTAGTGGGGTTCACAGTGAGACCGAAAGACTTACTCCAACTACTAATTAGGGCGAGATCAGAATTGGTAGCAGTTATTGCACCCGAAAACACTTAATAAAACTATTAAGTATTGAAATATTTTCTTACCTTATTCGTCAAATATCGCTTACTAGCTACATTCACTAGTCTGAGAACTCTATCTAAGGCACTTTTTACAGTCACATCTTTAGGCAATGACAGAGGCAATTTGGTTCTCTTCTCTCGCTTCAAATCAAAAGTCTTTCTCGGCATGTTACCTAAAACATTATTACTACTTCTTATAAGCAGTTTATAAATGAAATTTAATAGTACTCGTACGGCCAGTTTTAATAATAAAACTCCAGTAAAATAAGCCTATTAGAGCTTTGTTGCTAAATATTTTTATTATTTACATTATAATAACAACTGTTGCAAAGGAACGGAACCACATTATCCTTAACTTTTACTGGAGGTTGATTATAGAAACATGCTATTAGTGGCTAAATATTATTATTTTTATAAAACAAACCTACCAAGAACAGCTTCTAGATGCAGATCGTAAGGGAGCTTTGACTTGGCCTCCGGTTTGAGTCTGTCATTCCTGTCAATATACTGATCCGTAAATGAGTCTTCAATGAGACTCACGTAACCGTCTCCAGTCACTTCGCCTACGAACGATACGGGGCACCTCTCGCGGCTGCAAATCTCTGCAATTTCCATTATAGATAAAGTCTTGAATAAATAAAAGGCAATCGTTTTTTATATTACAAAGAGCATTTATGAGCAGACGGCTCACTTGATGGTGAAAAGGGCCATTCACGTTGAAACAGTCGCAGACACCGTCGATCGAATCACGGTTGGATAAGTATTGCATCGGAGCGGTGACATAACCTTGGTCATACAGCTCTACGACCAATCCATTTACGATCGAACTTGTCGCATACGACCGAAGTCCGTGCGACCGTTGTAACATGTATGGCGCCTCTAAGTGATCACCGTCGCCCATAGACACCTAAAACACCAGCGCCCCTATTAATAAACAAGGAATAAGCTTAGACTTGTTACGCCTTGTTTTGTTCATGTCACTCAAACAAATGCTATTTGTCATTCAATAGACAGAGACAAAACATGGAGTAACTAATCCAAGCGAAATCTTCGTTTATTAATAAGGGGGCAGGAGTATCACTAATCCGATGCCGGTCGGAAATTAACAAATCAACCACGTGGACTAAAGTACGGCCAACGAGAAGCGATATAAAATGTAAACAAAGCCGATGAAAGGTGATTAGCCAATGCCCCCTGCATTGGCTAATCATCTTTCGTCGGCTTTGACCTTTCATTGGCAATATTTTGAAAATAACATTTTATTTATGAAAGGTGCGAATAGGACTTTTATAATTTTAGCAGGCATATGTGTAAATAAAATGTAGAAAACTATGTTTTATTATAATTAATATTTCAAAAATCTAAAATTACTTAAAACAATTCTGAAAATAAGGAAACCTTTCTTATATAACTTGTTTATTTGAAATTCAAAATAGTTAAAAAAAAAACAAAAAAATATTAGTTATTATCACGAGTAGTATTGGAAAGACACGGGAAGAAATGAAAATATATCATTATTTTTAACCATAAAATGAGCTAACAAATATTGACAAACTCGGCGCCTAGGAGATCACGTGACATGACCGAACATATGATATATGGTCATTATATGCATTTCTGTATAAATATACTTATATAAATATCTGTATATGTATTCTATCCGTTAGCCTAGCATCCCATAACACAAGCCTACAGTGCTTACTTTGGGGCTAGGCTAATCGGTGTGTGTTGGAAATATTTATTTATTTAAATATATAAAGTTTCTAACCTTCAAGAATCGGTCTATTTTCCTTGCTACATAGCAGAGCATCGTTCTCTTGATATTCGGCGCCCCACAATTCCAAAGTCGTAATAGTCGGATCACCGAGCTGGAATTCCTTAGTATAAACAACAGCGCCTTCGGGTTCAACTAATTCTTTTAGTACATTGCCGTTACCCCCGGCGCCTTGGTCGTGAATTGCTGTTAAAGTACGTATTACATTTGTTATTGCATTCTTAATAAAATAAGGTCGATTTTAAAAGAAAAAAGAATTCAAATACATACATTCTACTGGATTGATGTCAGACTCCAAACAACCTCTTACGACGCGGTTGAGCCGGTTACCCATTTCAGCATCACCTTAATTACACAAAAAATACTTAATAGGTAGGAGTTCATCACAATTTAATGTAATATTATAGTAAAAGTTATTATTAAAAGTAAAGCAGTTTATTAAAAGTTTATAATCAATTATATGTGAGTTATCTGCAACAAGAAAATAGTAAATTCTTAGGCCCGTATTATAGAAAGATTCTCAATGACTGATCTAGTCTTGAGCATACTTAGAAAGGGATGTCGCTATATATATAGCACATAGCGATATACCTTTCTAACTGTACTCAAGTAAAGATCAACACTTGGTTGTCATTCTGTAATACGGGCCTTAGACTTTTCTTTCATAAATATTAAGGATCCAGGAAAACCAATTACATCTACATTTACAGTTAGCCACATAACGCATTTCAATACATTTATGTAAGCCCTTAATTTTAATCAATGTGTAGGTTTTGACTATTCTAATAATATAGCAATAAGTATAAATAAACACTACATATGTTGTGTTGTGCTACTTCGTAAAATCATATTTCAATATATTTTTATGTTTTCGAGTAAAGCAGGACCTCTTTCATCCGAACTCTAAAAATTTACCTTGCCGTTCGTATATTTTGTTTAGCGTTCGGATTATGTTATGGTATAGGAAAAAAATGAAATTTCAGATGTATATAAATCTATAAACATTACATTCATAAAACTTTCATAAAGAAATCTAATACTTTATTTTGTCTGGAGGTAATTAATGACAAATAAAAAAAAACAGTTAAAATAAAGGTCTAGTTCTCGTCGAATCAAAAACGCGGACTGGCGTAAAAGTTCGAATTACAGAGGTGTTCGGATTATAGAGTTGTCCTGTCGTAAGCCAAGTATTCCAATAAGTGTACACAACAAAATAATAAAACCAACCTCTTTGCACAGCTCCGAAGTCTAAAGCATGGTCTCTCGAGTCGCCACCTTGAACCGCTACAGAGGAAGCGGCTCCACCGCCCACCCCAATCCTATACACTGGACCCCCCACCTTAACCAACAACATTCCTGCGAAAAATGACCTATCTATGAGGGCTTAGATTAAAACAAAAAGGGAAGATACGGTACGCTCATACAAGCATCCAATAAAATATGATCCGACTCAACTACATAAGCACGCACACGTCTATAAAAAAACATTTAATCGAGCGTGCGAGACAGAACTGTACCCCTAGCACAAACCAATAACCAATATCGAATTCGTATCGTTTGCGAGTCCGAAATGTCATTATCAAATTTGTATTGATTTTTTGTTCTCGTTACGTACTTTGTGCCGCTGCTGTTCAAGTTTCCATACAAAATTTGACATTGACATTTCGGTTTGCAAACTATTCGAATTCGATAATGTTTCGTGCTAGGGCTACTGTACGCTTCAACGCAGCGCGAGCAAAACGACGAGTCCGCACGGCTGAGCTGTATTATTGTCCTTTTCTTGATAACAAAATGGCGATTACGTATGTAACATTCACGACAAACCATGATTTTAAAGAAAAATATGTTTTTACAGTTTTACGAATTAAAAGTGCTGCTGAGTCATTTGTCATTTGATTTTGAACTACTTGTGTTTTACTAAAAACATCGAAGGCATTGTTTTATCTTTATAACACAAAATATACGCAATATTGTAATATTGAGTGCACATGCAGCGTGTTTGAATGTCCAATTGTGACTAAAGTGAATTGTGGTCATGCACCACAATTTAAGCGGATCACTTCGCGAGTACCGTATAGGAGACTATAATAGGAGACTCACTGGCCCCTATGACTGAGAGTCCGCTATGACACAGGTTTTGCCTAGTAAAGGGGCAGGGAATCGTTTTTTTTGTCACCTATATTCTTAAGAATGACAATTGTAACACTAAATGGTAATATAATGATTATAAATAAAATTCATAACACTGTTTGTAGGTTCCGGGTTCGAATCCCGGTGGGGCAAATGTTAGTATGATGAGTACGAGCATTTGTACCCAAGTCATGGATGTTAATTATATATTTCTAGATAAGAATACTTATATATGTAGCAATATATGTATTCTATCCGTTACCTTAGTATCCCATAATAACACAAGCCTTACACTGCTTAATTTTTAGCGAAAATTATGTTTTTTTCGCCACCCTATTTTACATTTACATTTTACCAAGTATACAGCATGTACTCTCTAATAAAGCTATAATTTATTTGTGGAGAACTCGAACACAAATTTTAAACAAAGATATATTGGTAACTATAAATAGTACATATAAAGTTCCTAAAAATAATTATAGTGAATTTTAAACATAATTTTACAGTTCAATATATTTGTTTATAGCAAATCAATATTTATTTACAGATCTTTCATTTTAACATACCTTTTTCTGGCTTATTCTTTTTGATCATAGTATGAGGCATATAACCAATGCCACCGCTGAACATAATCGGTTTGACAAACTCCTCCCTAACGTTATCCGCATTTTTTAATCCATATGATTGAACGAAACCTGCAGAAATGAAATCCTTAATTTCTTTACTAGTAAAAAACATTGATTATATCTAACAAAGAATACCCAATTTTCTATTATCGTTTAAAGTTTAAAGGCAATTGTTGTAAAGATTATTTTAATTACAGTAAAAAAAATCTATTACTTATGCAATTTGGCAGCAATACCTGAAATAACAGGCTCTCCGAACTTATTTCCGTAATCAGATGCGCCGTTACTCGCATCTATTATTATTTGAAGTGGACTTGCAAAGTTGCTAGGATATTCCCATCCCTTTTCCTCCCAAGGCAAATCGTAGCCTGTAACGTGATAATATTTATTGAACTTACAATAATAATAATAATATTCTTTATTGCAATACACCATACAAGAAAACACAAGTAAATTAAAAAAAAAACACGATAGATATAACGTACACAATATAGGCGGCCTTATTGCTAGGCATCTCCTCTCTCAATCTCTTCCAGGCAACCCATAATAGAAAGATAAATAAATATGAAGGAGAAAAGGAGGGGTGTTATAGAAAATAATAATAATATCAATGGCAGAAAAACAGATATATCTAAGGAAGGAAAGAGAGAGGATGAAGGAATTTTTACATCACTGTTGGAATAACAAATAACTCCGAACTTGATCCCTGAACGAGTTCAGAGTGCGAGCCCTTCGAATAGTTTCTGGCAAAGAGTTCCATAGACGTACAGAATGCACAGAGAAGGAATAGGAAAAGAAATCAGTAGAATGACTTGGAATTTCAAGAGATAGGTTAGAAGAAGATCGCAATGTGCGCTGTGAAGTAGAAGAGAGAAACGAGAAGCGTTCTTTTAGGTAATGAGGAGAAGTGGGTAAGAAAAGTACGGAGTAAAGAAGTGTAAGAGTGTGTAAGTCCCTGCGCCGGCGAATAGGGAGCCAGTTAAGTTTAGAGCGGAAGTATGAGATGTGGTCATATTTACGAAGGTTGAAAATACACACATCAAAAGTGTCTAGGGATCAACATATATTTTTGCAATAACTTTTCTCCTGATTGATATTAATTAAAATTTTCTTTAAGGATTCATCAAATAAAGTGTTTTCGTTTGTCACAGTAACGATAAACCAAGTCACCTTTGCATTAATAAAGAAATTTGCCATTTTCCTAATAAAGGGATTTTTGACATTTGAACCACTAACACAAAAGTTCGAAAAAAAGACTGAAATAACAGTTTTCTCTAAAATTTTATTGGGTAACTTAAACAATTAATAATCCGTATTTCTACCGCGAACACTAACAACACAAGAACATCGGTTTGGCATACTCAAAATGAGTTCATCCAAATCACGCTGTGGAATGGCCGCCCATGTTCGTTGCAACAACAAAAAAAGGTCTTCTTGCGACTGGATACCCTCCATATTCGGCAGAGCTCTTCTCTGTAGCATATCCCATGCATGCTCAATCGGGTTCAAGTCTGGCGACTGAGCAGGCCAGGGCAGGACATTGATGTTAGCTGCGGCGAGAGTCTGTCTTACAACTCTTGCGGTGTGCGGTCGTGCATTATCATGCATTAACTGAAATAAGGGACCGATTTGCACTTGTAGAGGAACGATGACGTCTGATACAATCGTCTCAGCATAAATTTGAGCGTTGAGGTTGCCTCTGATCCAAATCAACTCAGTTCTTCCGCCGATCCAAATACCCGCCCATACCATGATGGTTCCACCACTATAAGGATGGACTTCCTGGCAGGATTTTAATCGCTGTTGGCGTCCAGGGGTTCTCCAGTGTCGTATACGTCTTGTATCCGGTCTCATACCAAAACGAGACTCATCAGAAAAGCACACGAAACGCCATTGTTCTTCTGCCCAATTTCTGTGTTCAAGAGCCCATTGATATCGAATCCTACGATTGTGCATTGCTATAGGTGGTACCCGTAGCGGTCTTCGGGAATGAAGGTTCACTTCATGCAAGCGGTTTCTGACTGTTTGGTCGCTAATTAAGTTCCCTGAAGAGTGATGAAGCCTCACGGCTAACATCATGGCGGTTATTGTTGGAGCTCTTCGAGTTAAGATTTGAATGTATCGGTCTTGTCTCCGTGTGGTGCAGCGATACCGTCCTCCATGGCGCTCAGCCACGGTACCAGTGCTTCGGTATCGTGTCCAAAGTCTGATAACACTCTGACTTGTATTCAGAGCTAAAGCCACAGTACGTTGCCGGGAACCAGCTTCTATCATTCCCACGGCTCTGAGCATTTCTTCCCTGCTTAAATGACGTCGCCGCTCCATAATAACGTTGGTTTTAATCAGTAGTAGGGAAACAGTAGCACTAATAATGTCTTCAATGCGTTGTATGTTTTTATAGGGAAAATATTGACAGCTGATTTTCATCTTTTACTCGAATTTGATTCACAGTTCCTGATTCAAATTATGAAATGCACCAAAAAGGATCCATATAAATTTATAAAATCATAAATTTATTACAAAGCCACATCTCAATCTCAAGAAATCCGCATAAAAATGCTTGATCCCTAGACACTTTTGATGTGTGTAAATCGGATGCATAAGTTCTGCAGACGCTCTAGCTTATTTAAGAGTTCTTCAGTGAGATCTGTATAACAGGCATCAGCGTAGTCAATGATAGTCAGTAAAAGAGTCTGCGCCAGAGTGATTTTGGTGGTGGTCGGCAAAAAGTTACGTAATCGGTTGAGCGAGTTGTATGCAGTAAAAATTTTCTTTCTGATCGCCTCCACCTGAGGTCTCCAAGAAAAACATTGATCAAAGACAACACCAAGATTTTTGACAGTGCTTGACCATGGAATAATAGTGCCATCAAAAGTAATAGGAGATAGATGTTCAAAATCAATCCTGGAAACAAAGTAAGAGCTGCCAATTATTATAGTTTGTGTCTTAGTGGGGTTCACAATAAGACCGACAGACTTACTCCAACTACTAATTAAGGCGAGATCAGAATTGGTAGTAGTTATTGCACCTGAAAGGTCAGATAGTGGTGCCTGTGTGTAAATTTGGAGGTCATCGGCATAAAGGTGATAGGAACTGAAAAGTGACTGTGTGATAGAATTTATAAAAATTGAGAAGAGAAAAGAAGAGGAAATAAGACGCCACCCTGAGGAACACCAGCATTGGTGGCGCACCACGTAGAGAAGTTATCTTCAATACGTATACGCTGTCGGCGTCCTAGCAGGTAACTTTGAAACCAGTCAATTGCCGCTGGAGATATGTTGAGAGAACGCAGGATGGCAATAAGTATGTCGAAGTCAACCGAATTGAAGGCGTTACTGAAGTCGAGCAACGTCATCAAAGTCAGTTGTCGATTCTCCATACCACGTCGGATATCATCTGAAATCTTAACCAATGCAGTAGTCGTGCTGTGGCCCGTACGAAAACTAGATTGAAATGGATTTAAGAGCTGGTTTTTGTTAAGAAAAGCTGCAAGCTGTTGATAAACGAGTTTTTCCAGAACTTTGGAGAGAAAGGGAAGAATGGAAATAGGACGATATTCTGAAAAAGAGGCAGGATTCGATTTTTTTGGGATTGGGATAAGATATGCATCTTTCCAGGATGCTGGAAAAACACCGGTTGAAATTGAGGTATTAAGGATGTGAGTAATTACAGGAGTGAGGATGTCAAGGATAGGAAGGATCATTTTTCGGCTAATGGAGTCACTACCTACTGCACTGGAGTGAATCGTTTGTATTGTTCTCTTAACATCACAGTCAGCAAATTGATATAAGAAAAAAGGAGAATGTTGAGTTGGCAAAGTTGAAAGACGTTGTAAGGTAGCAGCCTTACGGTTGCCGTGTAAAGGCACAGAAGCGAAAAAGTAACTATTAAGCTGATTAATATTTAGATTATCATTAGGAATACTGCTACGAGATTTGCCAACTCCGAATGATTTTAGGAATTTCCAGACTTTTGGGGGGTCTTCATTTTATATAGATTTATGAATATGGCGTTTCTATGGGCGTCCCTAATCACAGTGTTGCAGCGATTTCTCACCAAATTATATTTGATCTCATTTCTTTTCGAAGGATTGACTTTGAACTTAGCCTTAGCGGCATTTTTCCTTGCCATCAGTTCCCGAATTTCATCATTCAACCATGGAGCCGGCAGATGTTTTATTTTAACAGGGCGAATAGGTGCATGCTTATCATACAGCTCGGTAAGTAAGCAGTTAAAAAGTTCAATCTGCTTATCCACAGACTCGGATGCAAAAATTGCAGACCAGTCCAAGTTGGCAGCATCCTCCATCAGCTGTTCATGATTAATCCGAGCAAAATTACGCTGAAGCTGCACATTAAGCCTCACTTTTGGAGGATGAATCCGGTACGATAGGTACACCAAGTCATGATAAGAAAAAGCGTCCGCAGAATATTGCCCATGTTTAGCGGCGAAGGCAGGGGAGGAGACGATTATCAGATCAAGCAGAGAAGGGGTACAGTTAGGAAAATAGTGAGTTTCTCTAGATGGAAGAATATGTAAATTGGAGGAATTAATCACCGAGAGTAATTTTTTGGATCGATAATCGTCTTTTATGAGACATGTGTTGAAATCTCCCATAATTATAGTATGGGAATAAGAGGGGACAAAGTTTTCAAGAAGCTGTTCGAATGACTCAAAATAGTCGACTCGCAGCGAAGGGCTGTAGAAAACACCTAGAAGGATTTTACTATGAGACAAAGATATCTCAATTAAGAGATGCTCGGCACTGTTCGGGGGTGGCGGCTGTGAAGATCGACTAAGGATAGTAAAAGAGATATGAGAACGAAGATAAATGGCCACCCCTCCATGAGAGGAACTTACACGATCATTCCGAATCAGTCAGAAATCCAGGTAAGGAATAGCTAGAAGACGAAAGACAGGGATGAAGAAAAGTTTCGGAAACTAAGATTGCATGAATATTTTGGTTATCAAAAGAAGCAAGCATGTCCGGAAAGTGTGCCGGTATACTCTGTGCATTGATATGGATATCGTTTAAATTTTTAGGAACATCCGAAAAAGCGGCATCGAGAAGCTCATTCAAAGAAGTACCTAAGCTCTGGAAGCTGGAGTCAGAAGCAGAAGAGGAAGAACATGATATAAAGAGATCGTTATCTGTAGATATATCCATCAAAAATACAATATAATAAAAAAAAACTATAATATACAAACAAAAGTAATAATAATAAAATATAAGTTTTACTATACTACATATATAAATACCTACAGGTTGACTGAAAGAAATTAAAACAAAAATAAATAAATAGTAATTACTACATACACAAGAAACAAAAAGGAAACATTACACAATAAAGTACAAATAACAGTGACC